TGTACGTATCAAATCTTGTTTTTCGAATTATGTTTATTGTTACGTGCACAGATGTTGATATATTAAAGAAAATAAAAGATGTTATATGTGTACAGTGAAACTGTCAATGAAAAAAAAAATTCATTCTTGAATTTTGATAACTTTTTATGCTATCTTCCTTGTCCAGAAATTATGACAGATGTTATGAAGATATAACACTGTCTATACCAATCATGTCTTCATTTTCTTCACATATGAATTATAGATGAATTATGCCAAATGTTTTATCAGTGTGATCAGCCATAGATATCGGATCGAACAGAGTTTTACTGATTCGAGTTCAATTCAGTTGGTTCATTTTCGGTTCCTGATAGACGTAGTATTTTTCTGTAAATTTAAATTGTTGTCAATTTGAATTTAAAATAAATTTTTGAAATTAAAACTCAACAATCTAATCGTCGAGATACATGACTTCAGAAAAAAATAGATCTGAAATAAGGAGAGAAACTACTATTATACGTTTAAATTCGATCATTACTATGCAAGATTCCGTAAGAAAACAGTCACGCTGTGTTCCTGTTATTTCCTAATGACGCGTCTTCTTGATTGCGGACATTTTTTCTTAATTGGAGGAAAAAAATGTCCGCAAAGCAGAATCCAGGGGGGAGAGAAAAAAATGACCGCAAAATGGAAAATGTCCGCATTATAAAAACAAGTGAAAAGAATTACAAGCAGATAGTCAGCACAGATGTCTTGTTTCAGACGGATATTATCTTGATAGAAATAGCCTAGTGATGCATGTCACGTGTTGTCCAGGTCATTCTTGGGCATGCTCTTGTAAATAAAGTATAAAAAGTGAACAAAATGAAGTAAAATGAATTAAACCAGAATGTCTATCGTCAGTGATAATACCTTTTCTGAAATTACCACGCAATTTGATAATAAAGCAATAGTATTTAAAAACTATCATTTTGGTTTGCGACGGACCAAAAAAAGATGGAAGTCAAGTTTGGATATGTACACATAAGTTATGTAATTCCACCATCATCATACATGAAGGTGCTATTATAAAAACATCGCTTATAAAAGCTGATGGAAATCATGAATTTGAACATCCACAAAAAATGGCTTTAAATGTTTATGAGTGCATCACATCCATCAAACGAAAGATTGAAGAAGAACCTACAGCACCAGTATCATTGTTATACGACCAACAAGTAAAAAAATTTAGAAAAGAAAATGGTAGTGCAGCTGCAGTTCCAGTATTTGATCGTATTAAATCATCATTATACGAATATCGCTCGTCCCAGCATCCACCAATACCAAAATCATTATCAACTATTGATGTACCTGAACGACTTACTACGTTCGCTTTGTTATCGATATATCAAGGTGTTTGCTGAAACTGGAAAAGATGACCTAGATTATATACCTAAACAATGTTAAATGTTTCTTCTCTTTTCATATAGGATATTTTTTTCTTCTCATTTATCATACTTTTTTTTCTAATAAATTAGTGTATTGATATCATTATGCGAACATTTTCCAATTTGCGGTCATTTTTGTGTCTCCCCCCCCCCCCCCCCCCGATTCTGCTTTGCGGTCATTTTTTCTTAATTGGCAGAAAAAAGTGTCCGCAATCAAGAATTAGCCCCTAATGATACTAAGAAAATCTTGTAAACATATCTTTAATAGGAGATCTGAGAGACAAAATGTTCCT